CATAACATTGAAGAGAAGCTGGAGCCAAAGTGAAAAACTTTACAACTACTTCTGTTGTAAATATGCTCATTTGTGTCTTACAGCAGTGCTGTAGTTGTGTCCAGAGTGAGATTTTCAAGTCTAAAGACAGGAAAACCCCCTTCTGATGATGTATCATGAAGGTGGGAAGAACATTTGAAAAAGTCCATGGGGGTCCTGACCACTGAAGAACAGGGTAAAAGGGGGCTAACAAAGTATGCAGAGAAACAGATGGACTACAGTAATTGTCTGTAAATGTAAGCCTAATTTTCCAAATCAGCTAGAGCAATCTTCTCCAAATCTGTGGCTACATTCAAAATGAAAGTGAAAGGTAGCCTGTTGAGAGCATTGGGAATATGGACGGGTGCTGTTTATTATTATTTTGTCTTGTCAAAAAACAAGTCTGGAATTGTGAGTCATGTTTTACGCTAAAGCGCATTTAACCACTACAAATTTGACAACAGACAATCTGATAATGCACCACGTCATCAACCTCATTAACCAGTTTCCTGTTTAAAAGGAGCTCCTAAAGGACAGCAGTGTGATATGACCTGTGAATGTGTGAGAACCAGCTAATAACTCAGGTCTCACTCTGTGTTGTTTTCTACTTTCACTTTTTTCCTCTTTTTGTGACACAGACTGTGACGAGTACATGCTGAAGCTCACGCTCTAACTTTTCCACCTCCTGTACGGTTTCTTCTGCATTACAGCACGTAGGCATATTATGGAGATATACAGATACACAGTGCTCTGCAAACGTCAGAGACCCTTCCTTTGCTTAGTTTCAAGTCAAAATGGGCGTCAAGTACAACTTATTTGATCTTTCAGCATCGGGAACAAATGCAGAAAAACACACATTTTAAACTTTTCAGAATTTAGTGTGTCCACTCTGTGCCTTTACTACAGCTTCCATTCATTGCAGGGCTATTTTTCCACACCTTCAAAGTTCAGTCTTAGAAGTTGGCCGCATTTTCTGTTTCCCACAATCCAAGCAATCCCAAATGCAAAGTAAGGCTTATCAGTACGTAAAACCAAAGTGCAAAATACAGGGGGTCCTGGGGGGTCAGGTCCCCCTAATTAACCTCTCTGACCCCCTGAACAAGGTGGCGCTGTAGCAAATTGATTCACACAGCTGGTCTTTTATAGCTTAACAACCATAGCTATGTCCAGGACATCTTTGAAAAACTTTACAATGCACCGCAGCATATTTTTTAATCTGAAAACTCGCCCAGTTTCCCAAGAGTTTGGTGGAAAGAGTGAGTCGTTACTCATTTGAAGAGAAACAGAAGACAAAGATGAGATGTGTTATGGAGGCGTAGAGGCTGGATGTACATGCAAGTTGCTTTTATTACAAAATCAAAACTTAACAAAGTCCAACAGAATAATGAAGGTCCAAAAAAAGAAACAAATACATAAAGTAACAAACACAGAAACCAGGGAGCAGAAATGAATGAAAGACAAAGACCAAACCAAACACAGGGTATAAATACACAGAGGTGAAACAAGGAACACCTGGGAAGAACGGGAGGGCGGAGCTACAGACTACAGATAGATGAACACAATAACAAGGGGGCACGACCCCCTTAGGAGACTAAACTGAAATAACAACAAAAGCACGTTGAAAAACGTAAACAAAAAGCACATGGATTTAACATGGATCACACTCAGATGCCCAACTTTTAGTGTTCAAATTTTCTTCTTCCTTAATCTAATTCCTTTTCTTAGTAACAGCTTCTTGACAGCTACACATCCTTTCAGACCCATAGCACTGAGTCGTCTTCTCACAGTGGAAGGATGGACAGAAACACCTGTGGATGTTTTCAGATCTGAAGCCAGAGTGGAGCTTGATTTACTCTCTCAAAGGAAGCTGTAAGTACTGTTTATCTGATGGGGACAGTTTTGGTGGATCTACTAGGTTTCGCATGGTTGTTAGGAGTCCCAGTTTCTCTAAACCTTCTAGTAACTTTTCAAACTTCACTTTTGGAAACTCATTCAATTTCCTTTGACTTTCCTCTTCCTTACCAAGTGGGTCATCTTATATCTAATCTTCTTAGAAATGTCTCCTGAAAAAAAGAATAACTTGTATTTTATGACCAGTATGACCAGAAACTAAGTAAATAGACGTCGATCTCTGACTTTTGCACAGCACTTTATCCAGTGTAAAAGATCATTGGTCATGATAGTTTCTTTTATTCCCAAATCAAACCCTTTTCCTACATTTCCATCCTTTCAGCTTCATGTAATGTTCACGTCTACAGAGACTTAAGACTCCTTTGAATGTCTTGCCGCTAATTAGCCAGCAGTGAACTTGACCAGATGGCCTTTTCAATGGTCAAAGTTTCCCAGCAAACTCCTAAGCTGCTGGAGTTTGAGACAGGAGGGGGCTTCTATTATAATCCACCACAGCTCCTCAATGTTGAAGAAGCCTCATTGCTCATTACTGCTGTAGCAGCTACTGATTAGCTTAGATAGCAACTAATACAACAAAAAGAAAGCATACAAGGGGTTTATCACCAGTAGGGCCACAGAGACAGTTATCTCTTGGCCTGTAACTACTCAAGCAGATGGTTTCTCTTAGATGTTCTTCACACTTTTATCTCCAATTGTTCATTTAGTAATGATGGCAAGGCTAGAAAAAAGTGGAAGAGGAGAAGGTCCGATCCTGCTTGGCCCCCCTGGGCCTCAGTTCTGTCTGACTGCCCACAGGGGGCTTTGTAGAGGCACACACAAGCATGGCTGCGTGGTATTTTAATCCATCCAGGGAGATGGGGTGAAGAGGTGTTTGGAAAAGGGTTTGTCCGAACCACACAGTTCACTGAGATCCACTCTAATGTAAACAGCAAGCTACGTGTGCTCATGCTGTGGAAGGGTGGGGGTGGGGGTGGGCGTAGTTTGGGATGGTTCGGGTGGACGGGATGGACAGAGGGCAATCTCGTGGCCCCACTGGGAAAAAAGGAAAGTTCGCTATCTAGATAATTAACCTCCCTGTTCACAAAAACATCAGTCCCAGGGGCCCCAGACCATACATGACCTCTGGCTCTTTGTGAACTTGGGCTCAGGAGATAATCCTGATTCTAGAGGGTATGGTGTGGAATAACTCATTATAGGGCTGTAAAGAAACATGAAATACTTTTTTTTTTTATCTCAGCTTCAAAGTGGTGATGTTTACCAGTTATCAGACCATTTTAAAAGCTTAAGAGGTGCTATATTGGTAAACAAATGGTATACATCGGTTCCAGTTCTATGTATTCAGCATAGATGGACTGAAACTATTTTTATTTGCTTTCACTTTTAGAAACGGTAAACAAAACTTCACTTTCCTTCCCACTTCACATACACATTGCCAGGGTTGGGATAGGTACTGAAAAATTAGTAGTTAGCTACTCTGTAGCTACTTTCCCAAAATTTGTAGTTAGCTACAATTTAGCTACTTTTCCAGAAACAGTAGTGACTACTTTTTAGCTACTCTTTGAAAAGTAGTGCACTACTTTTTAGCTACTTTCAAAGCATGATTGTCAGAATGTTTGCGAATCTCCACCTGACACACCAAACAAGCCCAACTGTGAACAAGACACTGCATTTAATTATGTGCCAGAAAGAAACACACAATTGAAAAGCTGCAAATATACAAAACGATCACCAAAAAATAGTTTAAGTGTAACCAACAATCAAACTTACACAACCAAAGGTGTGATACACAACAAAAATGTAGACTTCTTGATATGTTTAATCTGCAACAAGTCACAAGGCTGAAGTCGCTTCTCATTCACCAGCTTCTCGTTCGAATTGTCCCGTTCCACCTTAAATGGCGCAGCAGTACAATCTGGCACCTTAGGAACCATTTAAGGTGGAACGGGACAATTCGAACGAGAAGTAGGAGAATGAGAAGCGACTTCAACCTCGTAAAAAGTCGAACATTGAGAGATATTTTACAAGAAACTCGTGGAAAAGTTTCCTGAGATGCGAGAAAAGCGGCTATAGCTGAGCTGAAGGTTAAAGCAGAGCAAAGTAAGTCTGCGTTTTTGTTAATGACAACAAGCCCAAATTTTGTCCACCCACCAAAGAACTTTTTCCCCACCCAATCCACCAATTCTGGCCATTTTGGTGGAAACCAGCCCTATCTGCCGTTGCACAATGGCCACATCCATACTCCACCCCCTCCACTGAGACAGCCAATAAGAGCAGTGGTCATTAGCATGCAACATCAACACCCACAGAATGACTTTTTGTATTCCCAAAGGAGTAAAAGACAATAAAACACATCACACAAATACTGAATTAAAGTGTTGTTTTATTCTCTTCACAGCTGTAAATTAAAGATATAAACATATTTTCAACATTTGATCACCATTTTCCAGCTACTGTGTGACTAATTCAAAAGGCGCCATCCTTCCTTACTCTATGACCAGCGCTCTCTCTCTCTTCCACTCTCTCAAGGATTAAAATGAGCAAGGTTCCCATGGAGATCCTTAGAGCTGTCATAGGCCGGTCTCTAAATCTCCAGCAAGAGCGGGAGGTTTTGTCTGGGGGAGACACTTCCTTTCATGAGGACACCGTTTTACAGGCTGATTTATACGTGTTGTTGTGGGGTTTCCAGGACGGGCGCGCTTCTTCCACAAAGTCGGCTAAGGAGCAGATGAACAAAGAACAGAAGCAAAGAACAGCAATATATGACAGACTCAATGCAATGCAAACACTTTACTCTTCCAACTAGCTTTTCCTCTGGCTGTGAGTTTTCACTCCTGCAACCTGTGGAGCCCAACATGCTCACTAACTTATTCACAGAATACAGTTGGGGTTACAACTGTACAACTGGTGGCATATGGGTTTAATGAGTGAAACCTCACATTCTTTTTAGTGGGTGTGTCTTTATTATGTCTGCCAATCGAGGGGGCCCTGGGAGGCCTGACCCTCCGCCCCTTTTTTTGCATTCAGCCTGTCAGGGCTTGTTTTTTTCAGTCTGAAGTACTCCCTCTATTTTTTTCTCCTCACTATTACTGCTGCACAGCCCCCCCACAAGCACCATCCAGACCTACTGGAGTGTGACTAGAGCAGTTATGCAGTCTCCAGAGTAGCTCTCAGCCCGAGCCCAACAGCACCTCAGATATCCTTGTTAAGCGCTGTGCTGATACCCCAGGGCTGGGGTATACTTCCCAGAGGAGTGAGCTCCCATTAGGGACATTAAGCAAAGGCTCCCATTAAGGACAGGGGCTGAAGCGGAGATACCTCCAAATGCCATATACCGTGGCCGTGAGCGACAAGAGGACGCAGCAAGTGACTAGAAAGTCGAAGTGTGAAAGAAACTGTTTCCTTTCGCTTGCTTGATTAATTCTGAAGCTCCTAGTATTTGTGGTGCTAGGTCAACGTGAGGACACTGTCTGAATGTCTTTGTGGGAAAGTTCCTCTTTGGAACAGGTGCTTTTGTAGAACGGTATCCTGACTTGTTAGAAGAAGACGAAGTCAAGCTAATTCTACACAAGTGAAAGCAGAGCAAAGAAAGGATGGCCAACTCTGGATTTCAGCTCCTGGGCTACTTCTTGGCTTTGGGAGGATGGATCGGCATCATCTCCACCACGGTGCTTCCACAGTGGAAGCAGTCATCGTACGCAGGGGACGCCATCATCATGGCAGTAGGGCTGTACGAAGGCCTTTGGATGTCTTGCGCATCCCAGAGTACGGGACAGGTGCAGTGCAAGATATTTGACTCCCTGCTCTCCTTGGATAGTAAGTATTGCTGGAGTAACTTGATTTATTCAAGGGTAGAGTAGATATTCTATTAAGGTTTGGTATGGCAGGGGTATCAGTGGGATATCAAGTTTTTGACGGGGTCATTAGGATGTTATAATGTGAAAATTTATCCTATATATCGCTGTTGGCGGAAGAAAACCTCATATCTCCAAAACGGTGACTTTACAGGAGAAGGGAAAAACCTATTTTACTTTTAATGTAAGTCAATGGAACCAGACGTCTTTCCAAGTGATTTTGGGCCATTTCTGTTGGTCCGTTCTTCATGAAATTTACACACAGTGTAAAGGACAACAGCCACTTTTAGATTATGTCAAAAACTGACAAAGGACAAAAAAAGAGATACAAGGTTTTCTTCCGACAACAGCGATACTGACCCTGAGACTCCAACAGCCCATGCTGAGAAATGACAAAAGAAAAAGCAAGAGAAACTGTAATCAGCTTTACTAGCAATGCAAGCACATGGATTTAATCGACTTGGTAAAATCCATCAAATTAAAATATGCAACGGTTGACATACGTTAATTAAAGCCTCATGTGACACATAGGCAACCCCAGCGAGGCCGTCATTGACTGCAACAACAGTCTGTTGAAATAACACTGGATTCCGCTACTCAGCTATTAATCAATATTCAGAGCTACTGTCACTGTCAGTTTTATGGTGCTGTGTTGATTCGGTTTTAATGAGTAGCAGTCATTTCTTGCCCATCATCCACACCGTCCCAAAGAGGACGTCTAGGAAATATGTTCATTATGACTCATTTCTCACTGGAACACATCATTTAGTTGGAGATATTTTGACGAATAGTGACACGCCCACATCAATCAGTTTTTACGATTCGCTGTTGTGACACTGCGACGCTAGGAAGAGCCGAACGCTCCACTTCTGATGAGTTCGCCCCAACTTTGAAGGCCGGAATGTAATATGTTTGCGGCTGCTCCCTAAAAGAAACAAATTAGCCGTCTTATTTCGCACACCGCTGTCATAAAAACAGCTTATTGTCCTGATGGCATGAATAGCAGTTGTTTTGAGAAGAAAAGGCCAGTGTTGAGGCAAATGCCAAAGATATGTCCAGAATGCTAAATGTATTTTCCCCACACAATGCACCAGCATTGTTTCTTGGTGTGCTAAAAGGCCTGCGCCCAATGCTGAAATATAGACTAGACATATATTAGCACATCATCTCAAAAGTGATGAATTTTAAACTGACTACACAAAATTGGCCTTGAATCATTGAAGTTTTTTTATGAAAGTGATGTCAGACTTCAGTTTGCAGGATTTGCAGCTGGATTGGTGGTAATGGAACAGGTTTTTTGTGAAGTTTCACAGATACAAGACTGCACAAAAGTCAGAGACCACTCTTGATTTAGTTAAATTCCTGTCAAAACAACCATTAAATTATTATTTTTCAGCATTAAAACATGCATTTAACCAGAAATTGCTCACAAGCTTCAACAAATAAATATAATTTCAGATATTTCAGTATTTAGTGTGTTCACCCTCTGCTTTTACTACATCTTCCATTCTTTTCGGGAGACTTGCTACCAGTTTGTCAATAAAATCTGTCAGTCTTAGAAGTTGGTTGCATTTTCCGCTTTTGATGATCCAGCTAATCCCAAACACGCTCAGTGATGCTGAGGTCTGGACTCTAGCAGCTTCTTTATTTGACTTGAAGATGTTTTTGTCAATTTACTTTTCTCAGTGAGGTTCTTTTTGAATAGCTACACATCCTTTCAGACCCATAGTGTTGAGTCGTCTTCTCACAGTGGAAGGATGGACAGAAACACCTGTGGATTTTTTGAGATCTGAAGCGAGAGTGGAGCTTGATTAGTACTGCTTATCTGATGGTGACGTCGGATGTGGTGGTCTACCAGGTCTTGCATGCTTGTTCCTTGTATTATTTTAATAACTCCAGTTTTGGAAACTCCTATTTTGCGCTTATTTTTCTGATGCAAATCCTATATCCACTCTACTCAGCAGCATCTCCTTAAAAATCAATCATTTAAATGGCCATTTAGCTGGAAATGAAACAACTAAAGGGGATAATCTCTGACCTTGGTGCAGTACTGTCCACTACATTGTCAACAGTAATGTCAATTAACCCCTTAAAATTCCAGGCTTATTACATACTAAGGCTTATTATTCAGTAACTACAGGGACTTCAATGCAAACTGGTTGAGCTACAGGTCATATAACTGTGTAATAAAACTTGGCCCTGGCCATTGAAGGGGTCAAACCAAGACAGGAGTTTTGCCCAAGTTTTGCTAAAGTTAGGCAGACAGAGTGAACATGGAATTGTACAACTGATTACTGTACAACTCGTGCTGGAATCTTCAACGCTGGAGCCACAAAGGGTGATGGGACCGTCTGATTCCACTGTCCCCTCCCTTGCTAGTGCTATTGTTGCCCACTCTTAGGTCATCTGGACGGATAGTGACTGCAATGTTCTGGCTTATGTATATACAGACAGTGTCCTACAGGCCTGCATTGTTTGCCCTCTCACCAGCGGTTCTGATGTCCTTTCTTGAATAATTGTTAGTATGGGTGCTGTCAGCTGACCACTGGACAGTGTGGACAAAGCCTTCTTGGGCTGCCGCTGTATGAAACTGGAAAGAGCCAGGGAGAATTTGAAATGAGCAGTAATTTAAGGCTAAGATTACACTAGAAGTGGTATTTGTATGCTTTGTGTGAGGAGACAATAAGTAAGTACAAGGGTTGCACAATATACTGTTTGTTAATCGTTATCACAATATTGGCTTTTGGCTTTTGCAATACTAATATTGCAAAAGGCTGTCATAAACAAACAATATCTGTAAATGTGAAATACAATAAATCACTGCAAAAAATTATATATTGGCCAGTGGCATGATCTTAGATCTAATTGATACATCTAATATGTCTCATTTTGAGATGGTTGTGGAAATATCGTAATATAATTTACCTTATTTGTACAAATTTGGACTTTTAATTTTATTAAGTGACCATTTCTTACTATATTGGCAGATAATATAGAAAGATGTTTGAAACTAGCACAATTATCTGTCAACATTGTGAAATTATTTCACTTAAAACAAGTTAAAAAAACAGCGAGAAATAAGTTTGAATAGGCTTATATTCCTATGACCGTCTCAAATTGAGAAATATTAAATATTTAGAATAGATTTCAGTTTATTTCATTCGCTAAGACATAATTTTTTTGCAGCTAGGAAATTATTTTTGGTCAAAACAATGCAGGACAATCAACCACGACACATTATTATTGGTTTACTTACTGGAAACTCCTATTTTGCCCTTTTTTTCTTATGCAAATCCTATATCCAGTCTACTCAGCAGCACCTCCTGAAAAATCAATCATTTAAACGGCCATTTGGCTGGAAATGAAACAACTAAAGGGGGTGATCTCTGACTTTTGTGCAGTACTGTCCACTATATTGTCAACAGTAATGTAGGACAATCAACCACAACACATTATTGTTGGTTAACTAATATGTTGCAAGGTGTCACAAGGCATAGCAATATAATCGCAATACTAGTATTCTGTCCATATTGTGCAGCACCATATAGCAGCTACCATTGAAGCCCCTACTGATGCAGCTACTGAAGTACCCCAGTGAATGAATGTGCTAGTCTGGGGTCCACAGTGCTCAGAGCTTTAGGGGCGAGCAGTCCGAGAAATTCAGATAAAAAAATGTGACGTCAAAAATGTCCCGAGGAATGCGTAGAGAGGTGCTTCTGATATGACGTCCGAAACAGCCCACAAGTGACCGGACAATGGACAATGCCCTAAAACACACACGCATCCTCTTGAAGTATGCGCTCTGCCAAAGCGCACGCTCACTGGCCTTTCTTTGTTTGTGCCAGGCACGGCCAACCTTGGCACCGGCCAGTGGACTGTGGGAGGCAGCCTCCGCCCCCCCCGCCCGCTAACCCCGACTCTAACTACTCCTACTCAAGCAGGACCTCAGGATCAAAGCAGCACCCTGCTGGGTCAAACCCGACTCCTTCCATACAAATCGAGAAATAAAGCCGGGGAAGGGATGAAAGCGGACAAAATAAAAATCACTCTTTCTTATTCGCCACAAAAATCTTCCTTCAAAGGGGACCTCTCCACGCATAAATCCAACATCAAAACATTACGCGAAGGCTCCCTCTTCAAATCTCCGCTTTGAAACGTGTTTTATTGCTTCGTCTTATGTGTGAGGCTACTTGTCTTCTAAGGCTCACAAAGCAGATTTGCTTAGAAAGTGTCTTCTAAGCGTTGACAAAGTTGAAAGTTGGGAAAATGAAAAGCTTCTGTGGGCTGATGCTCATCAGACATTAAGAAGCCATTGTTATGGGTCAGACTAGCATGTCGTATGCATCTTCTACATATATAAAGGGGCGACAAAGCCATGAAAACAATCCCCCTTTGTGGGAAAAGCCACACTAATCCCCTCTGTGTGAAACATGTAAAAATGTCCCTCCTACAGTGTTATGTATGCACTGATAACTGTGTGGGCTATCTATGGAATTTCAGAGTGGCAGCCACTCAAAACGCACCGCCGAGCCATGATGGGATATGCAGGCGTGAAGTATCATGTCAAAGAGGGTTTAAAACTTATTTTTGAGTGGTTTCAGGTTAGTAGATGGGGTAATGAATCAACTCCAATGTGCAGTGCCGGCTGTGTATAAGTCTGGTTTTGTAATACAGCCGGCCACAAGCTTCAGAAAGGATCCTGATCCATGTTTTTGTTGAATTGCTAATATTCCACACCTGCAGTGCTGTGCAAAGGTTAGAGACCAGCTTCGTTTATTATACTTCCAGTCAAATTCAATTATGTACAAGTGATTCATTTCACTGCAGCTGTAATAAAGGCAAAGAGAAGACTCACTGACTATTGACAAAAATGTCGTTGTTAAGGTGTCATTTTCAGTGAAGATGACGCCTTAACAACTACATTTTTGTCAGTAGTCAGTGAGTCTTCTCTTTGCCTTTATTACAGCTTCCATTCTTTTTGAGGTGACTTGGTTTTAGTTTTTCACAGAAATCTGCAGAAATATTTTTTTCAAAGTTCAGTCTTAGAAGTTGTTTTTTTTCTGCTTAATCCAAGTGATCCCAAACACATTCAGTGATGTTGAGGTCTGGACTCTGGGGTGGCCGGTCCATTGTTCTGAGAACACCAGCAGCTTCTTTGTTTTGTCTATTTGCTTTTCTAAGTAGCACCTTTTAGACCCATAATGTTTAGTTGTCTTCTCACAGTGGAGTTTTTCAAATCTAAAGCAAGAGTGCAGCTTGATTTTCTTCTTTTCTTTCATATAATATATGAAATGTTCTGCATGTATTTTCCTTTGACTTTCCTTTTCTTTATACAAAAATATTATGTTACGTATAATCTCTGCAGAAATATCTCTTAAATAAAAAATAACATGCTCTTTTATGGCATTTTGACTGGAAGTAAAATAAATAAAGACTGGTCGACTTTTGCATAGTGCTGTACATTTAAGCAACACTGAGTGCATTTGCACACGCTTAATAATTCGATAAATGCAGAAAATCAGATTTTGTCAGTAATCCGATCAACGTATTTACATGCACTTGAGTAATCAGATAATGCGGAAACTCAGAGTCTACATGAGTCAGGCAGTAATCAGATTTCTGCTTTGCAACCAGCCAATAAACTCAAAGAAGATGACGCGACGTAAATGTAAAATAAAACTTCATGAGCAGCTTATTATTTACAAACATCGCACCACTTTACCTGAAAATATGAACATACCTCATCTAGAAGATGAAGAATATTTAAAGCCTTTATTTTACATTTGGTTTCAGCGCTGCCCCAAAAGTGTTTTGCTGTGTCTTGCGGTGACGCTGCTTGTTTTTTCCGGTACCGCCGTCTGTTCTCATGCATGCGCAGACTGAGAAATCTGAAAGAAATCAGAGTAAGAGTTCACATGCACTGAGAAGTCTGATTACAGAGCTAAAATCCAGCTCTCTTTATTGGATTTCTTAATCTGATTTCTAGTTCGGAGTATGGAGTTTACATGACCATTTGAATAATCGGATAACTGCAGTAAATCTGATTCTGATCGGATTATTGAGTGTATGTAAACACACTCATTGTTTCATTTTTCTTAAAAATGTCTCATTTTCTGCAAGGAATGAGTTAAGAAGTGCGTCTGATATGATGTCTAAAAAAGTGACCAGACACTGGACAAAGCCCTTTTTACTCTTTACTCTTACATATTAGTTTCATAATAGTTTGAATCATATTTAGTTGTTTTTTTCAAGAATGTATTTTAAGATTGACCTCTTAAAACAATAAGAGTCCCTAACTTTCATAACTACACAACATTTCATCGTTTTTTAGTAGGCTATAAAATTCATAGTAGTTATTGAAGAAAGTGAATAAAACGTTATCGGTCTTTATGATCTCCCCAGTACATATCCAGACATGCCGAGCGCTGATGGTCATTTCTGTGCTGATGGGCTTCATTGCCATTATTGTGAGCGTCGTGGGCATGAAGTGCACCAAGGTGGGCGACAACAACCCATCCATCAAGAACAAAATTGCTGTGGCTGGAGGAGGGCTCTTCCTGTTCGCAGGTAAGCTCTAATCACACGATTTTAGGAAATGTGAGGTCAGAAATATGTCCCAAAGTACCTATACGTAGTAATAACGTGTTCAATAAGAATCACATATATGTAAGTACCTCTATGTAAAATAATGTGTCTATGTAATGTATATGTAAAATTAATACTCCACATACATATTATATGTAGGTGGAATAGATAACTGTGTATGAAGCTATATACATACATGTATATATAAACAACCCCAACTGCAAAAAATGCAATGATTTGCAAATATCATAGACCCATATCTTGTCTTATTCACAATATAACATAGAACATATATCAGATGTTGAAAGTACATTTTACCATTTCATGAAAAACATTAAATCATTTAGAACTTGATGGCAGCGGCACATTTTAAAAAAGTGTCCCAACTTTTTTGGCATTGGGGTTATTACATATCTCTCTCTCTCTCTCTCTCTCTCTCTCTCTATATATATATATATATATATATAGAGAGAGAGAGAGAGAGAGAGAGAGAGAGAGAGATGTATGTATGTATCACTGCTGTCGGAACAAAACCTTGTATCTCCATTTTTGTCGTTCTTCAGTTTTCGACGTAATTAGAAAATACCTGTTGCTCTTTACATTGTGTGTAAAATTCATGATGAATGGACCAAAAGAAATGACTCAAAATGACCTGGAAAAAAATCTGGTTCCATTGACTTACATTAAAAGTTAAGCAGGTTTTTTGCTTCTCTTGTAAAGTTACCATTTTGGAGATACAAGATTTTGCTCCGACAGCAGCAATATTTTTATTATATATATATATAGCTAAACGTAATAGTAATATCCCAAACGTGATACATATGGGATATAATGTGTATACCTATGTGTAATAAGTATTAACCCTAATCCAAATCTAAGTACCTTAGTAATCAACTCTGAAAAAGTGAACAAACAACCTAAAAATAAATAAATACATAAATAAACAAATAACAATGGAACACAGAGCTTTTATAAAAGTAACTTCAGGGTATGAAGCCTTCTATGTTACATCTGCTTTTTCTACAACATCAGGACACTTGTCACTCATGAATTCAAACAAATGTATGAAAACAAACACATACACTTAGACATAAGAGCTGAACATGGAAACAATGTTCTTATCTCTATTTATACTCTCTTTTTGGACTGTGAGTCAAATAAACACCGCAGAATCATGCTGAATAAATGTTAAATTGGCTTAATCTTAACGGTTGAATCAGCTTCAACTAACGACTCGTTCCGCTGTGAGAACTGTAGAGCTACCGAAAGTGTAACTACATTTCACATGTGAGTCATGAAAAACAGCCTCACGTTCCCATTTACTGTAGACCAGTTTCGGTAAACAAGTCTCCTAATTACATTTCATCATTCCTCCATTAACTTGTACTTGTGGTTTCTCAGGATCTTCAGGCTCCAATATCACTTATGTCCTTTCTGACAGACAACAGTAAACAGGAAGTGGGTAGTTCAGTGGTATCTGGACTCTTTCAGGGGCCTGGAAATAAACAAAGCAAAATTTCTTCGCCTTCGTACTAAACAACCACTGAATTGTATTTCGCTGCTAGGTATCTGCACACTGGTGTCTGTGTCCTGGTATGCTACGCAAGTCTCCTATCACTTTTTTGATCCCAACACACCTGTAAATGCCAGGTAAGCAATCGATACGGAGCTCCATCACATCACAACTGCTAGAATTCAGACTGGGATTAAAATTACGTGTTTTAATTACAAATTACAATTGGAAAAAGAGCAAAATCTGTGGACATTTGTGTTGAAGTAGGTATTTTCTATTGAAAATGATATTCGCTATAAACTTCTGTTGCTACACTGTTCATAGAAGGCTAGCATAAACAGCAGAAAGGAATAGTTAAGAAGCCATTGATGCCATCTTTGAAGAATAAGGACATTTTACACTGTGGATCCACAGTCATTTCCTAATTACTGTTAGTGGTTAATTGGTCACATTAGGCCTTCAGACCAGCTCCTGAAGGCCTAACCAATGGGAGATCTTGTTTGGCTGTATCTACCTTGATACTATGGTGAAAAAAGATTGGATTGGATAATTTTCCATTGAGTGTTTCAATTTAAATTAATTAAACTCTTTTGTTTCCAATCAAACAATGTAATAAGTTTCATGGTAGAGTTTAAATACGAGTATGATGATTTCATTCAATAAAAATAAACTACAAATTACAAACATGTTTTAAATTTCACAGAAATTTTTAAGCCTGAAGGCCTAGAAGGCCCTAAAATGTTCCCCACTAGTCGACAATATATTTAAACACTTACAAAGACCCAACTCTATTCTAGAGAGTAGTCTTACAGTGTGCTTTCAACTGTGTGAATTGAGCTTCTCCTTCTGTTCCAGGTATGAATTTGGCTCCGCCCTGTTTGTGGGATGGGCGGCGGCCTGCTTGACGATGCTGGGTGGCTCCTTCCTCTGCTGCTCCTGTGCTAATGAGGAAAGAAGAGGGCAGCAGTACTACCGGCAATCACAACCGTCTACAGACAGGGAGTACGTGTAAAAAAACACAACTACAACTACATCAAACCAAGAAAATGTAAATGGGCACAAGAGACAGAGCTCCTCCCCCTCGTACCATGATAACACCTCTGTTTCTGGAATAGAGAATCCTCTTTAATGGTTGTGTTTGCATGCACCACAGGCCATAACTGAACATATTCTGCATACACAGTACACATTCACACTGTTTATTCATAATTCATTCAGTTTTTAGCTGGTCACAATGGTTGTGGAAGGTTGAGACTATGAAACTGCGGATGCACTGTTGGTCTCTCACAGTATTCCTTGACAATTTTTTGCTAAAACCATAACTTTAAACTTTAAAAGTAACTTAAAAGTCTGTCTCGTTCACTTTTTGAAACTGAAAATATCTGAAAATGTATTTTGTCAAGATTTTGAGTTGAAGGCCAACCAATTACAGGCTTGCTTTACGTAAATTATGACCAAAAAGTGACCAAAAACTTTCAAAACTCCTAAGATGAATGTGTTGGCATGATGTTATAACCATCGCGCTCAAGGTGAACAGCGGTGTAATCTGGGATTGAGGTTTATTCACTGTAAGAGATGATAGTCCAAGTCTGAGATAATGTAAAGACCAAAACAGCAAAAACATGAGAGAGAAACAGAAAAGGGAAAAACATAGGACCTGGCAGAGCCTTTCTGCTGGCCTGGCCTGGGCTAATACTCAGAGCCCTGTGTGGTAGCTCTACATTCCTCACCAGCCACGGCCGCACTCACACTCCATTGCGGAGACCAGAAGTTATGAGCGTTTCACTGTCCGCTTGCGCGCAGGCAGCTCCTCTCAAAACGTTAGGGGACATTATTTATGGCTGTGTTGACCCATCAGTGGGGCTCCAACCACTCCTTTGTGGGAGCTGAGGCTTTGGCCTCCACAAAGAAAAATACTTAAAGAATCGACTGTGAACATTCAAACTGGAGAGGCCAACTTTCTAGGGAAAACTGCTCATGGAATCTAGAACAGTCCAACAAATTTTTCACATTCCTGAACGGAAAATCACAATAAACATCATGCACAGCTAAGATGAACACAAAGGGAGTTGTGAAATAGTGGAAAGTGAAATGCCGAACTCTTGTCTCCAAGATGCAGATCTGTTGACGGCACCTCATGTATAGCAGCTCAATACGGCATTTGTATTTCAGCGTAGTGGAATAAAAGGCCACCGCACACTGGACATGCAGTACAACACTGTGTAGTGTGGTGTCACATAGCACAGCGCTGTGTGGCTGTTTCGCATAGGGCAGTAGTTGTAGTAATACTGCATTGCATAATACTGTGTTGTGTATCACAGTGTCACCTGGGATAGTGTCACACAGCACAGTGTTGCAAGGCAGAGCTGTGGCGCATCGTGTAGCACTGGTTTGTGTAGCACTGAGTCATGTGGCAGTGCGTCGCATAGCACTGCATTGTGTAGCACTGTGTCTTGTAGCGCTGCGTCGCGTAGCACTGCATCATGTAGCTCGTGTAGCACTGCGTTTCGTAGCACTATGGCATGTAGCACTGTATTGCGTAGTGCTGCGTCACACAGCACTGCATTGTGTAGCTCATGTAGCAGTGCATTTGGTAGCACTATGGCGTGTAGCGCTATATCGTGTAGCACTGCGTCGTGTAGCACATCGTGGCAGAGCTGTAGCCGCTATAGCCACAAAGAATGCACCCACAAAAAATGCATTTCCACAAAGAATGCATCACAATAAATATGCTGATAAACACCAAACTCAACTTCATTTTACACTGCATTCATTTAGATTTAATGTAACAAGACTTTCTACATCTCTTAGTGAATCTATTTTGTTTTTGGTCAGCTAACTAACCCTTAACAATCTCGCTGTTTGGTACAAGGTGAAAAAAGAAGGCTATTAATGTTAGCTGAGGTAAAACGCTTTTGTCAGTTCATCTTAAAGCCATGTTACCCACCGTCGACGTTTGTGTTGTCGTTCTGGGGTTAATTAAACTAAAAAAATAGGAAAACACTAAGTGGCGTACTGTGGTGCTTAGAGAAATAGAGCAGAGCTGGAAGTCGAGCAGTGGTGTGCATTAATATCGAATGCCGGCGGCAGTGTGTGCCCCTCTTCATTCAAAACCATGTTTTCGAATTTTTGGACACTGTGCAACGCATCCAGTGTGGAGTGGCCTCAACACAGTTCAAGTTAATAAGTTTCATACAGAGATGACTTTTGTCGCCTGAAATGCTCCCTAAAAAAACATTTGTCAAACAAAAAAACACAAAAATGTTAAGGGTTGAGCACTTTTTGAGAGTTGAGTATCGTGTTAAGTATGAAAGATTCAAAAATTCAACTGCACTCAGCTGTAATGGAGGGAACTGGAATTTCTGGATATTTATCATAAAATTTCATAGGCAAATTTCAAATTCAGTCAAGTGTATTACCATCAGCCCAAAAGGGACCGGTATTTTGAGACATATTTTTGCTTGATCTGAATTGGCAGTGGTTGCTGAATTTGCCTTCCTAGTCAGAAAAGCCACATACAGTTCTGTGCAAAAGTTTTGGCGCCCTTGTTAAATTCCTCGTTTAGTTTGCGTGAACTTTTTTTCACTTCGAAAATCAGGTGTCAAATTTCAAACTTTTGCCTTCGACTGGATGGGCCAACACAGAAAAGCCTTAGCAATTCTCTATATGTTTTAATATGAACACGATTCTAGGTAGAGATAACATATTTATCACATGTAACCAGTCCACACATACACTTCATTTCATCTTGCACATCGTTTTCATTGCAACTGCTCATCTTTCTTATTAAAGACCTTTAACAACGATGTATTATACAGTACACTGTAGTAAATAAGCAAGCCAAATAGCCTCAGGGAGAGAATATGATGTCAGAAGCATCGTATGGTGTCGTACACCAGCAATCTGCCTGCTTTCTTAACATCCGTACTAACCTTTCCAAGGTAAATACCAGTCTTCACGTGTCTTAATGAATTAACCCCATTTGAGGAGCCAATTGAATCTAAAGGTCTTGTGATTTGTCTCTTCCTCTAATGCTGTTCTTCTTCTCAGACGGTCTTCTCTTCTTCTTCTTCTTCTTCTCTAATTCAGGGCTGAGTTGTTGAGTGAGACTAGTTTCCCTGACTGACCAACCCTACCCCGCCTTTATTCGAAGACTGTCCGAGCTCCACTCTGTTTCTGTCCCCCTCCCTACTTCTGTTCTAAATCTGGACCTTTGTCTTGCCGCTATAGCCTGTGTTGCGCCCTAAAAACCTACGTGCCTTTCATCAGCACCTGATGAATACAGAATAAAAATGTGTCGAACCATTGTAAGCCCATTTGTTGTGTGCTCACCTCCCTCTTGTCCCGCTCCCTCAAACCTTTGTAAATATGTACTCTTCTTACACTTGGCCTGATGTAAAGTATGAGTGGATTTACGGTGTTATGGCATATGTAAGCATGTAAAACTGTATCCAATTTCATCATTTATGTTCTGTAACATAAGCTACAAACAACATTTTCTGAACGGTGGACGTCCTGATCTGATCAGACACCACTGCGTTCAGGTTCTGTTTGTAACTCTTAAGCTTACTGAAACATGTTCTTTTCTTTTAAATCGCAGAGCAAATGTTAAAAGTTCTCCACCAGACAAAGGGGAGCAGTACTTGTAGTTTGGGAGAGGGCGGCTCCGTTGGTCTCACGCTGTTTTAGATTTTGGCAACAGACAAGACACTCTCTTGGTAATAAATTAAAGTAAACAAGTGAAATAAATTACAATAAAGTTTTATGAAAGCAAAAGAAATGGTAAAGTGAAATAAAAAAAAATGACAATGTATTTCTGTAATAAGCAATGTTTACCCATCTTGTTTGCAAATGCTTATGAATGCATTCCTAAAAACATGTTGTTGTGCTGTACAGGGCCAGTATTGACATGTATATGAAAGACACTGACCAGAAATTCAACACAGAGTGAGCCAAAAGTTGGGTCTTTGCAGAAGAGTTTGCTAAAGTCAGTCTTAGTTACTTTTGCTTGTTTTGTAATGTCATTAGACCTCAGTTGCCCTCAAATGTATTTCTGAGACTTGATTCAGGGTACGTAAAGATGCATTTCATCACTTATGCAAGTATGAATTCCTGTGTAGCATAATACCAATGGTTTTTAACCAGGCTTTGACTCACACTGTCGTTTATTTTTTGCTAATTTGTCAAGTGAAAACTTGCATATCCTTTCCATTGTGTCTTTGCCCCTCACTGTAAAGTCAAACTGTAAAGTTGAAGAAGCAAAGTTGAAGTTGCAGAACAAACTGGAACAAAATCCAAATGTAGTGCGCAAATGATTTGTCTTGATGAATGGAAGTTCCTGACCGAGTCTGGAATTGTGTTCAACTTGCATTGAAAGGCACTTATCTCTTGTGTTATGTCTGTGTTTAAAAGAGGCCATTCGTGTAATGGTCAGTCATTAGCTCGTAATCAAGTCCTTTAGTTCTGTATATTTTCCATCAAACATTTCCTAATATTCAAGTATGTATCATCTCAAATAAAGTATCAGTGGTTCTGTTTTTCTGTTTTGAAATAAAATAAAACATACAAAGCTGAACTGTAGTGTTTTTTACTTATATTCTATCAAATTATTAATTTGTCTCATTTCAACAGTCTGAGGTGGGACTAAACTGCAACAATAATGATGACTTGCCACTCCAAATCACTCTTATTTGAGAAAGTTCGTGGACCAGGAAACTCTTGGGGTCTAGTTAAAGGTACGAGACTCTTCCTAACAAAACAGTTTAGCAAAATGTCTAATTTTCTACTCAATCGTTCGAGATGTGATTGATGTCCAAATTTTGCTTCTAGAAGTTAATAGTCACCTAAATCTTTTCTGTCATGTTGTGCGCATTCTTCTGTTGTTTCTATTCATGAATAGCTGTGAATCTTGAATTTTTACACTGAAGATATACAGTCGTGTGCGGAAGTTTTAGCACCCCTGGTCTTGTGTTGTTGACAAATTTGGATGCACAGTCACTGTTTATTTGCTGTGTTTAACATATTGGGCAAAAATAAAAGTTAAAATGTGGCCTTTTTAAAAGTTACAGCACATTTTATATGTTATGTTTTTTTTTCCTATATGTAAATCTCATTAACTAAAATGTGCAAAAAATTGCCATATTTTCCTGTAGAAGATGTGTGGTATGTACTTTCTCTCAGAAAATGAACAAAACATGTACTCTGAGCAGGGGCCGGGACATGGGAGGGTGTTTTAAGTTAGGGGTGCAGTATATATGTGACGTAAATGATTATGTCATGCAAAAGTATTTGCCTTTTTTATTTTCATTTTAAATTTTTGATAATTTACATCAAACAGATCATGTCACGGCTTGCTACACTGCAGCGAGAGATGACAGTATACCCACATAACTGACATTAAACCCCTGATGTACACCCTGATTTCTCTGCTCTCTCTGCTTCTGTATGCAAACGAGTTGAGTGACGTCCAATCACTTTGCTGATGTGTGGTGTGGTGACCACTTGTGTCACCCACAACCACATGTTTAAACACATTCTGACCGGGAGAGGTAATGGTTGATATGTTTTCTTAAGTTTAAAGTTTCTATTAGGCAGCTATGCAGCTCAGAAATGGCTTACAGCTCTGCACACTTTTCCTCTTTGCATATCAACTTTTGTGTGTTTTAGTGACACGCCCTCAGAGTGGTCAGCAGTGGGCAACGCTCGCTTAAATGAAAATACAATGTTAACAAACCCTGTGGATTTTTAAATATGTGAATAAAATATAAAAATACAAACTCCATTCCAGAACAAGCAGGTAGAGGCCTTTTTTACTATGTTCAAATTAGTTTTAAGTTTAGATCTTTTTTTTTTTTTTTAGCAGGTGCAGTTAACTAACTTTGAACTCTAAGGGTGCTGCTGCACCCTCAGTTCCCCCACTTCCCATATTCCTGTTTTCACTTTTGCATATGACTGTATATTAATAAATACAAGAACTAGAAATTGCAAATGTATTCTAGCATCCATTTGACTGCATGACGTGTGCACATGGTGGGGAGTCGATTCTGTGGGGCAGTCTCGCAGTAACTCATACTGTGTCCACATCAACAAGTCTGCGCAACATTAATGACGACCTATAGATGCAGTTTCTGCAGGTTGAGAGAAGTTTTGGGGATGTATTTATGGAAAAGGTTTAGGTGCCTTTTGATTTCTAATGTTTGTTAGCAATGTTAGCCTCATAGCTCCAGTGCTATAATAAAGAAGCTAAATTTGGACACCAAACAAATGGCTGGTGAAGTACATCTGGGGTAAGCAGAAATTTTAAAGTGTGAAAAATGTGTAAATTTGATTTTTCGCTGAACCATTACTTTAATTTCCATTAGCTGAGCTGGAGCGAAGAATGTGTCCTCCTTTTATGCAGCTCTCTGAAGATGAAGTGAGTGAACGGAGTGGACAATTTAAAATCAGGCTTTCAGAGCATTTTCAAAGTGAATTCCAAAGCACTTCCCATATATCTAGAAATGAGGTCTCATGACCGTCAGTGTGACAGTTGAGCTCTTGTAATGTGTGATTCTTTCATCTATTGTCAGGGTGGTCTAATGTATAGGGGCTTTAATGGATGAGAGGTCTCCCAGCCGCTAACTGCCATGCTTGACATCTCTCAGACAATGCAAGAGGAGTCATAAAACCTCTGAACTCCCTTCTCTGAAGTGAACCTCTCTGAGTTACAGTGCATTCCAACAAACCATGGTATTGTAACTGGCTCCTGTGCTTTGTCGCTTTGAGCCTGATTAACTTGAAACGGGCTTAGTCTGATTGATTTGTGAGCATGCTAAAAGAAAATGTGCCACACATGTAGAAACTTTAAGATCATGAAAGTATAAATATTTAAAAGAACCAAGATAATGAAGAAGAACCCTGCTAAGAAACATGTGACTGCTAGCCAAGACCTGAATCCTGATGTAACAGGTTGGCAGCTCACTAGAAGTTCATCACTACAGTCATATATATTAATGTGTATTAGGAATTATTCTGTATTTGGTCTATATTTTTGGTCAACAACAGGCTACAAGCATACATTGGCTGCTTTCCACCTTCTCTATTGCCAAATGCACTGTAGATGCCAGTAAGACTGCTGCTTGTGTACACTGGAGCACCTGCCTACCGCTGGGCCTTCCTGCGCTGGCTCCGTCCTCCAGCCAGGCTCTGCCGTTAAACCTCGTCACTCTGCCTCGACTACCGTCTTCTTGCTGCCCGTCTTCGCCACGCTGCTGCCCTTGGAATGCCTCGACCAGGCTCGATCTCGGTCGCTAGGGGGCCATTCCACTTCTGACACCAATGTGGCATCAGCATAGAAGAAGAAGATGCAGGAAACACAGTGCTTCAAATGAGTGTTCTTTAAATTATACAGCAGCCCTGCTAAGCACTACTGAACGGCGGAGACTGTAGACAGGCCATCAACAGCCATGTACTTCACCCTGATGGTAGGCACCAACACTGCCCCAACTAGTCCACAGTCCACATGTCACGGCAGTACCCATGGTGTTCCGCACTCGCCGTCCTGCATGGCCACGCCTCTTGCACATCTATGGTGAATGAGCCATTAGCAGGATACTACAGTATGTTAAATAAAGTCTGGTCTCTGACCTTTGCAAACTTAAAATAGTTCCTGTATGCCAATCAGGTTATATAATATGTAGAAAAGTGCCCACAGAATCAGAAATTATATTGTGTACAGTGCATAAAGACAGTCCAGATGGTCCTCATACCTGAATTAGTGCTCTGAGATTATCTACGGAGGAACCCGAGCGTGAAAACTGGAACTGGATTAGCTGGAAACCAGCCAGCTCTGAGTTGAATGAGGTTGGGTAGGAAAGCAGGTCAGACGGTGTCTGAGCATTAGAATCATCATAAAGCCCAGACTTCACTCTGCCTCCTTCTTTACACCTGAATGCTCTCATCTGCTGTTTTCCCTCTCTTCTCCATGAGTGCCGTGCTTGCCCAGGCGTCCGGCCCCCCGACGCTGTGGAATTGCAGTAAAGGTAAAATGTCAGTTCTGCCTCGGTGGACATGCCGTGCACTCAAAGTCATTATTAGAATTGCTTGGAGTGAGGCGTGGGCTGATGATTGAGGCTTGAGAGGGAGGCACCTGAACAGGACGTGTGCCTCTTTGACACGAAAGAGAGTAAACACAGGAGAAGGCAAGCAAAAGCTAAAAATAATAAGAAGAAATAAGAAGAAAATGAATGAGATCTGTCCTAATTAATTATGGCTCTAAAGCAGACCAGGGCACTTTTTGTAGAGGTGGGCCTGAAAGAGCCCTCAGTTGAGCTGGTCGGATCAGGAAAAACATGTATATTGTGACCGTCTGGGCCCTCTGGCCCTAAATCAAGGCAAAAGAAGGATGAAAAAAGGACGCAAAGACTTTAGTGAGCAATATTCTCCTTCCATGTCTGTAATAAGCTTGCTTTTGTTGTTGATACCCCAACCTTGTCTTTCCTCTCTATGTTAGCTGAAGACAAAAATATGGCTACTCGACATTGTATAATAACATTATATTGTATATATTGTATTGTATTGTATATAACATTATATAAGCTATATAGCCAGTATGTTCTGCGCTGAGTTGAGCTCAAGTATTAAAAGAAACATTATAAAGGAGGAGGAGACAAGTCACTGGTTGAAATATAAATGTGATACAAAACGTTCACCATAGTGGCTGCATTATGGGAAGTCCCAACCTTGAATAAAAACAACCAATCCCCTTATTTATAAAGGCGTAACCCCCTCCACCACCATCCCTGCTGAGACAGGACTATTAGAAATCATTAGGATTAAAAAAAACTAATAGTTTTGCTAGATACCACTCATTTCCTGTTCAGCCACTGGTCAACTGTTAAACCATTAGGGTCCTTTACATTGTAATATAAACCCATAGAAGCTTGGTCTCGCTGGAAATAACAGGCTTTCTTATAAAGACTTTGGTATTAGTTACTGACTAGCTGCTGTTCTGATGAATTAGACTCACAAATAATCCTAAAAACGTCTAGTAAAAACTGGTTCATGCTACCGAGCCAGCTAACATTAGCTACAAACATACACTATATTAAGTAGCATATCTAATGAGCGAACTCAATATTTGAATGTTAGCAAGATGATCGCTTTCAGAGTAGGACATTTCAAAGCTGTCTTGGAATGATTTATTTAGCTGGAAAAAGGGGTAAAACTGTGGTCATATATCAGTTTTAACATTGCACAACATCCACATTGAGTTATGATGTGATGAGATTTGCATGTTCTCCATTTTTTTGATGTGCTACTTCTGCTGAAGTTGTGTTTTCACCTTAGAAAAGTGCTTTTTACTGAGTCATTGTTTCTATAATGTAACAACACTTTTAATAGAGACTACCGTACCCACCTGCTCATAGGGCAGTTTACAGGAGTGGTTCCCTGGTTCTGGAGTACCCATTGGCCTGCAGATTTTAGTGGTTTCCTGAGAGTTACAGCATAAAAAGTCAAAAATGTGCAGGGCAGTTGTGCTCCAGAGCCAGGACTGGGAACATATAGTTTAGAGGACTGCACACATAGGTTTATGAG